CAGTCCTTTGAGAGGCCAGGTGGATTGCTTGAGTCCGGGAATTTGAGATCAGCCTGGACAACATAAGGAGACCTCATCTCTACAAAAAAAATAATAATGATTGGCTGGGCATGATGATGTGCACCTGCAGTCCCAGCTACTCAGGAGGCTGAGGTGGGAGGATCACTTGAGCCCAGGAACCTGCAGTGTGAGCTATAATCACACCACTGCACTCCAGCCTGGGTGACAGAGCGATATGCTGTCTTTAAAAAAATGCTCCTATAACCCAGGAAATTCCAAAGGATTTAGGAGCTGTGTGTCAGCCATTCCTATCACTCAGGAGATTACAAAGATTTTAGGAGATCCATGTTAGAAACAGGGGCAGAGGCCAAATATATATATTTTTATTATATCACAATATCACAAAAGTCCTGGTGCCCTGGCCTGGCCTTGGAGTGGCCAGGAGGACCTGGCTCCCAGCAGTGGTGGCCTGAAGACATCTTGCAGTTGGGCTGGGGGAGTTGCTGCGGTGACCTTCACAGACTGGCCTCCAACAGAGGGCATCTCAGGAGGGCCTAGGTGGGACACAACTCCCCGTAGTCAGAGTATGTCCCCCAGTGCCTCGGCACATGAGCCCCTGGAGCATGAAGTTGGGGAGACCACTCAGTGGAGTGGTCACTTTCGAGCCATATACCAACATCTGCTTCACTGGTATGTTGTTAGACCTCAAACGTACAAAAGCACAGTGACTCACACCTGTAACCCCCGCACTTTGGGAGGCTGAGGCAGGAGGATCACTTGAGCCCAGGAGGTTGAAGCTGCAGTGAGTTATGATCGCACCACTGTACTCTAGCCTGTGTGAGAGAGTGAGACTCTAGCTCTTTTTTAAAAAACAAAAAGGAAAACCATGAACACTACTGCAGAGTCCTAATTAGGAAAAAGGAATCAGGCTGGCAGGACCAGGCAGAGGCTCAGAGTAAAAGGTTCTGCACTGACCATCAGATTTTAAAAGTGATAGCTCATGCCCATAATCCCAGTCCTTTGGGAGGCTGAGGTGGGAGGAGCACTTGAGCCCAGGAGTTGGAGCAACATAGTAAGACCCTATTCCTACAAAAAAAAATTCTAAAAAACAAAAAAGATGAGCTGGGTGTGGTGGTGTGTACCTGTAGTGTCAATTACTCAGGAGGCTGAGGTGAAAGCTACATTAAAAAAAATGTTATGTTGATTTTGCCACAATACAATAAAATCTTGGGGAAGAAAGAGCTGTCCTCCCAGCCCACTGGGTCTTGGGAGCTAGCTGTCAGAGCTGGAGGGCAGGCAGGTAGCCCCACAGCCACAGTGGCTGGAGAGGGCCTGGGCCTGCATCCACCTGGCTGGGTCATGAGGGACTGCAAAGAGGAATCCCTGGGCTGTGCCTCCTCGGGGGCATGAGAGAAGTAAGAGCCCACTAAGGTGAGCCAGATGTGGACAATCATTCACTGAGAGCGGTTCCAAAGGCAGAACCACCTTTGAAAAAACAAAGGTAAGTGTAGCAGGGAACAGCTGTCGCCATGGAGGTGGCAGTAGGGAAGGTACTGCCCACAGTTTTCTTTCCCTACAATTTATTTATAACACTGGAGGGAGTGGGAGCCAGGAGACTGTCTGGGGACAGTGCCTTCCTAGGTGGAGGTCAACCACCACCTACAGCTTGATGAGCAGGCCCCACCTCATCACTTGAGGAGAAAGGAGAACTTCCCTTTGGGGAAATGGTCCCAGTTTTTGAATCCTGGTCCTGAAGAGGCCTTCACCATGGCACTGAGCTGGGCCCATGGCCTGGAGGACAGTGATACCTCCCTCAGGGTGCAGGAGAAGAGCAAGTGCTGAAAGTGCCAGCTGGAGAAGAGGGGCCATGTTTACATTTTTAAAATCTGGGCCAAGAAAATCTGTCTGGGAATGGAGTTCCTGGACCAAGTCGATTGGACTGTGATTTTTATGGGGGAGGATAGTGGCTTGGGCTGAGAAGTCTGGTCACTGTGGATGATTTTAACCAGAGTCTGTCTCTGGTCATGAGGTCCTGGCTGTTAGAGCATTTCATTCTGAGGTCCTCAGTTCATCCCGGGCCTGCACCCTGTTCCCTGCTCCTGGCAGACAGTGCTCCTTGAATCTAGACTAGGGATCATGTGGCGGAGATGCGCCAGGACACGTGTGTGTGGGATGCTCAGGGCAGGTGCAGAGCTACCCGTGTTGGTGTGCCTGGAAAAGGGGATATAGGAGAGTGACGTCCAGGTCCATGCAGTGGCTGCAGGAGTGTGGAACCTAGGCTCATGGGAACCATTTCCTTTTTTCTGAATTGTGATTCTCGAAGTGAATAATTTCAAATTCAAGCTCTTCAGCTATGAACACAGATGAACGTTCAGCCCCTGAACAGGACACACACGACACCCCAGGGGATTCAGCTGAAGGGTTAGGTAGTGACAGTGTCCAGAACCCAGAGTCCAGACCCCAGAACCCACTGGAGCGCTGTGGCTCCCCCCACTCACCCCTTCCCACATGGGGGCACATCCTGGTCTGAGCTAGCGGGCTAAATCCAGATTTAGAACACTTTCTTGTTCTCATCTTAGAGAGAGTCACGTTTGGAGTGCCTGCTGCCTAATCCGACCAGAGACAAGAGAGAGCCATGCCTGCTGGGACTCTTCCTATAAGGCAGTGGGGTTCAATTCTGCCAGTTTCCTGGCCAGGGGCCCCCTGAAGCCTCAATAAAACCAGCCTTTGCTGCCTCCTCCCCGTGGCCCGGAGCCTCCCTGGGGGTTCCGCGAAGAGGCTGCTCTGTCCCAGGCCACCCCGTCAATCATGGCACGGGAGACAGGGAGGAGGCGGGCCGCAGCTTATTCAGAAGTTCCCAAATGCCAAGAGGTCCTTCTGAATTTCCTCCTCCTTCCCATGGGGAGAAGGCCAGGCCTGCCCCTTCCTCAATTCCTCCTTCACACAGGTTGGGCCCCTCAGTTCCCCACCATCTGGATGCAGGCCTCGGGCCTCCCAGTGAGCGAGGGCAGTGGCTGAGTCAACGGGATTAGGCAACGGAGTGAAAATTCCTTTTTTGGAAGCCAGGCAGTCACTGCCCAGGCTGGTGGAATCCTTGGGAAGTGATGCAAGCTCAGAGTCAGCTAGAGGCAGCAGTGAGCCCCTCAGCCCGGCTGCAAGCCGGGCTGCAGGCCTCCTCCTCTCCTCCTCTTGTGCTGGCCAGAGGTGGGCAGAGCCCTCAGGAGCTCCTTATATAGGAAATGTTTTGAAATCGAGCAGCAGACAGCCTATGGGAACAATAGGGAACAATCTTTGTAACCCTCGCTGTACCAGCAGCAGCAGCTCATTCTGGAAGGCAAGAAGAGGTAACACTGAAGTGCCTGTTTTTTCGCAGTGTGAATGAAGAGCCTGTGCTTTAGGAGTGCCACCTCCACTCCTTTCCGGTTTTCTGTCCTGCTGTGGGGCCTGGCCCAGCTTCTCTAAAAGTGGCTCAGACACAGCGAGAGCCCCGAACTCAGGCAGACGCTTGTCACAGGGGCTCCCAAAGGGGACTGCAAACTCTGTGAAGGGAAGACCCACCAGGACCAGAATGGCTAAGCAGCAGCTGGGAGCACGGGAAGAGGGTGGGGAGAGGTTTTCTTCCTCTAGGGTTCCAGGGCACCCTGTGGTGTCTTTCTGTATCCAGAGTGTGGTTAGGGAAGGAAAAGGCCTCCAAGGCATCATTTCTTAATTAAGAAACATTTTTCTTCTAGCATCTGTTCCCCCTGATTCTAGGAATAGTACCCATTTCCCTTTTGGGTGGCTCCAGGACTGGGCGTGTGGCCCACACTGGCAGAGCCACCTGGCTGCTGTGTCCGCAGTATGAGGTGTAACCCAGGCCATCCGATGAGGGGACAAGGTGCAGCCCAGAGCTTCCTGCTTTGGAGCCTGAGGACCTTACTGGAGGAAAGCAGATCCAAGTGTGTGGGAGACAGATTTTTTTTTTTTTTTTTTGAGACAGAGTCTCCCTCAAGTGATTCTCCTGCTTCAGCCGTGATTCTCCTGCCTCAGCCTCCTGAGTAGCTGGGATTGCAGGCATGCACCATTATGCCCAGCTAATTTTTGTATTTTTAGTATAGACGGGGTTTCACCATGTTGGCCAGGATGGTCTTGAACTCCTGACCTCTGGTGATCCACCCGCCTTGGCCTCCCAAAGTGCTAGGATTACAGGTGTGAGCCACTGTGCCTATCCCAGATTCTTACAATGTAATCTGATTGCCTTCAGCCAGCTATGCCTACAGCTAGAGACCCCAGCCACAGACAGGAGGGACAGAAGGACAAAAGGACAGTCCTTGCAGCTAAGCCAGCATGAGGCACAGCTCCACTTTGGCAACCTGCCTGGCTGCAGGCAGCATCTGCAGCTGAGGGTGCAGTTTTTTTTTGTTTTTTTTTTTTAAGAAAAAGACTGGGCCTGGTGTGGTGGCTTCAGTCTGTAATCTCAGAACTTTGAGAGGTCCAGGCAGGAGGGTTGCTTGAGTCCAGGAGTTTGAGATCAGCCTGAGCAACATAGCAAGACCCCATCTCTACAAAAATAAAAAACTAGGCATGGTGGTGTGCACCTGTAATCTCAGTTACTCGGAGGCTTAGGTGGGAGAATGGCTTGAGTTCAGGGGGTTGAGGCAGCAGTGAGCCAAGATCACACCACTGCACTCCAGCCTGGGGGACACAGCTAGACCCTGCCTCAAAAAAAAAAAAAAAAAGAAAAACCTGAAAAAGTGAAGTCCTCTCACTTTCACAAGTGAAAAAGTCGTTGAAGACCTCCAAAATTGAGTACTTCAGTGTGAGGGCCCCCTTTGGGGGTTTTCAAGAAAACACAGTAACATTTCACAGCTTGTTATTTTTGTGGCACTAATAAAGACTTATGAGCCGTTATGTCTGCTAGCAGAACATTCCTGGCTGAGTTTTGCTTTTATATAAAGTTCTTTTTTTTTTTTTTTTTTTCCTGTTCTTAGAGACAAAGGAGGCACAGGAAGTATCACATCTTGAAGGTCAGTCTTGCGATGGATTTATTGCTGGAGATGACAGACCAAATGGCTCTGACACATGCACACTGCTCCTGGGCACACCTGCTGCTTGGTCACTTCCCATGGCCCCTGGGGCCCTCCACGCCTCCCTCCCAGGGCACCCTGGCTTACTGTCCACACTTCATGTACCACCAAGCCCTTTCCTATCCTGGGCACCACTCCTCAGCAGGGTGACCAGTGACCTACAAGTGCACGTGGCTCAGAACATAAAAGCATCTTCAACATTTGTCACTAAGCCAAATGAAGCACAGTTTGGCTCAAGAGCTTGCAGCAGCCTGCATCCCTATCCACAGGTGAGCCGGCCCCTGGCGTGTGACTTGAGGGATGGCCGCTCTTCTGTGTCATCCAGCACCCGGAGCAGGGATGTGCCCACATAGATGAGAAACTGTCCTGTTACCTGGGCGGAGTAGGACAGGAACCGTAGCAGGCTCCTGTGACAGAGGGAGATGGAACGCGTTAGCTTGGGATTTTGGGCCAGCGAGAAACAGACAGGATGCGGATACTTCACTTCCCCCACCAAAAGGAATTCCGAGAAGGCCAGGCTCACATTTAGAGCATGGCTGTCTGAGCACTCTCAGGGTACCCATGTCCCGGGGTTGGCACAGATGCAGCTGCTGCAGCAGAGGGTCTGGCTGGGAGCAAGTTTCTGTGAGCTCCCTGGGGACCTCCAGCTGCTGGCCCAAGACCACCCCAAGAAGCACAGCTCCCATGAGCCACCTGAAGCGTGGCCAGCTTGTTGAGTGGCTGGCAAGCTCTGTGTGGAGCACAGCTATGCTGTGTCCTGGGCTTTGGGCTGCTAGGCTGTTCTAGGGGCCCTGCTACTGAAATCAGTCAGGCCCGGTGAAAGGACAGGTTAGGCTGAAGGAAAGTTCTAGCAAAAACTGGCATCATGATCCTGTGACCCAGGTGGCTGAGGGCAGCCAGATATTCCAACTCGTTCCCGACGTTTTGGCAGGGAAAAGCTTGCCCTGTCCTGGCCTCTCAGTCCTCAGGCTGAGTCTGCATTAGTGTTACATTGGACTTATAACACTTTGTCTCAAGTTCTCATTCTCGTTCTCTACCTAGTCCAAAGCTAAAGGATTTCATTCCAGTTTTAAAATCGCTTTCTGGCCAGGCACGGTGGCTCACGCCTGTAATCCTAGCACTTTGGGAGGCCAAGGCAGCCATATCATGAGGTTAAGGGATCAAGACCATCCTGGGCAACATGGTGAAATCCCTTCTCTAGAAAAAAATACAAAAATTAGCCGGGGTGGTGGTGGTGCATGCCTGTCGTTCCAGCTACTTGGGAGGCTGAGGCACGAGAATTGCTTGAACTTGGGAGGCAGAGGTTGCAGTGAGCCAAAATCGCACCACTGCACTCCAGCCTGGGCAAGAGAGTGAGACTGTCTCTCAAAAAAAAAAAAAAAAAAAAGATGAAAAGAAGAAGAAAAAAGATTTTGCTGAGGTAGAATTTTGGGTGAGGTTAGCTTTCTTCATTATACCTTTTTCGGTTGTTGCAACGCTCCTGTCTCACTTTAAAAATCCAAGTGTAGGCCAGGCGCAATGGCTCACTCCTGTAATCCCAGCAGTTTGGGAGCAGTATTTAGAGCCCTGGCAGTTGTAAAGTGCTTGGAAGCAACTTTCTTAATTTATTTTTTTGTATATTTATTTATTTATTTATTTTTGAGACTGAGTCTTGCTCTGTCGCCCAGGCTGGAGTGCAGTGGCACAGTCTCGGCTCATGGTGGTGGATCTTGGCTCACTGCAACCTCTGCCTCTCAGGGTTAAGCAATTCTCCTGCCTCAGCCTCCCCAGTAGCTGGGACTACAGGTGCCTGCCACCATGCCTGGCTAATTTATGTATATTTAATAGAGATAGGGTTTCACCATGTTGGCCAAGGTGGTCTTGGACTTCTGGGCTCAAGTGATCTGCTTGCCTCGGCCTCCCAAAGTGCTGGGATCATAGGCAGGAGCCACAACACCTGGCCCAACCTTCTCATTACAGATGGTAAAAGCAAGGCTCAGAGAAGTTAAGGAATCTGTGAAAGGTCACACAACTGATTCCTTAGAGCAGGGACTGCTGTGTCTCTTAGTTCCAGGCTCAGTGGCAGGGGTGCCACCTGGTTATGGGGCAGGAACACCCGGGAAGTCTCCTTTTGGTCACATGGAATTTGTTTGAATAGGTCTGGGGCGTGGTTGGATTGGGAATCTGTCTTCTAAAAGTTCTCTCCTGGGATGCTCTGCAACCAGTCCGGCCCTCATCTTTGGGATGACAGTGCCCTGGCATTATGTGGAGAAGACGCATGCCCGTGCCACCTTACCAGTGAGGCTGAAGTTACCTGTGTATCAGGACTATAGCAGATACACACAAAAGCATGTGATTTGCCCGGGTCTAGGTGGCCACTCTATACAAACGCAGCCACGACTTCCACGGCTCTGGTTTTAGTTATCCTCACCTAGAATTAAGTGCTCAATTTCTTAAAATAAATGTGGTTCCTCTTTATGTTTATTATTTAGCTTTTGTTCTAATGAATAGTTAATCATCTTTGGAAGAAATAATTCTGTTTTGGCTGGAGACTTTCTGTTGTGTGAGATGAGCCTGTGACTTAAGAGTTGACCTGCTTCAGACAACATAGCTCCAAGTGGCCTAACAGTAGCAGCCGGCCTGGGAGCCCAGAGGAACAGGGTGGGAATCCTCAACCTATGCCACACCTCCTGTAGTCTCCAGACCCCTGGAGGTGACCCCCAGAGTGTGTTACCTCAGCAGGGCCTTGAGTCCTGTGCACCGGATGTCGTAGGACACGGAGTACATCTCGTACATCGTGGCCTTCACGTTGAGGCAGCCAATGAAGTCCTTGGGTTTCAGCTTATATAAGTCAAAGGTGACTCTCGCTATTCCCGACCTCTTTGGTGGTGAGCAAGTGGGAATGTGCTGGCTACCCTGAGACAATGAGAGGAGGGACACACTTCAGGAAGCTTCGTAACCCTCCCACATCATCACTCTACTCTTATGCCAGCTTCAGATTCTCTTATATGTCCATTTAAGATCTGTGAGCTGCTCTGTGGCTAATCTATCAAGAGATGCTTTCAGCAGGACCCATCTGTGCATACTATGACTGTGTCCAAGTAGCCACGAGGCGTCTCTCCCTAATTTTCTTTCAGTTCCAGACTCAGGATGAGTCTGGTGTGGTGTCAGGGCCTAGATTTCAGGACCCCTTTGCTCAGTGGATAGTTATCCCTGACAAGTGGTGGGAACCTGGTGACATGAGACTCTCGTCTCATGACTAACACAGTTAGGGTTATGGAGAAGCAGGCAGCACTTGTTCAACTCTATGGGCAGCTACTGGGCAGAAAGTACCAGAATCATATGGCTGATGTGAGGGGTACAGTGGTACCTTCCTGGAGCACTCCTGTTTTAAGAATCTCCCAGGATAAGAGCTGACTCCATGGGAAAGCCCAAAGCCATGCAGCAGACCCCCTGGGTTGGAGAAGGAAGTCAGAGACCTTTACACACCCCCAGGTTTATAAATAGCAACGGAACAGAATTTTCCCTACAAGATGCTTTAAAAATATGAGAGCAAAGTCGCCGCACAGTACAAATGCAAGGCCAGGAGCTGTTCTTCCTGAGTGGCTTGTGCCACATAAAAATCTTGCAGCACTCAGGATTTGGGTCTAGACAATTGACAGGGTTCCTAGGTCTTGTGAGCCTTCAGGGTTGGGAGTAGCTGAGGCTGTGAATGGTAAATCCACTAATGACAGTGACCTCATGAATGGGAATCTAAAACGTAAATACCTCTAAAATTATCCAAACTCTCCTTGCTGTGGCCAGCCTTCTTTATTCCCCTGTTCCCACCATACAGACAAACCCACTTGAGGTTCCAGCTGTAGACTCTAATTCTGATCATACAGAATTTTTTTGAATAGATGTGGGATATGTATGGATTGGGAATCTGTCTTCTAAAAGCTCTCTCTCCTGTGACACTTTAAAAATATGACAGCAAAGCTGCCTCAAGGTACAAATGAAAGGCATTTATCTTTGACGTGAATTTGTCTTTCAAGAAAGATTTTTGTGGCCAGGTGCAGTGGCTCGTGACTGTAGTCTCAGCACGGTGGGGCAGGAGGACCTCCTGAACCCCAGGAGGTTGAGGCTGCAGTGAGCTGTGATTGCGTCACTGCCCTCCAGACTGAAAGACAGAGTGAGACCCTCTCCATCCCCTTCAAAAAAAAAAAAGGAAAAAAGAAGAAAAGATTTTGTGAGGTGGAATCTCGGGTGAGGTTGATTTCATTATCCTTTTCTAAGCAGTTGTAGCTGTCTCTTCTGACTTTAAAAATCAAAGCAGAGGCTGGGCATGGTGGCTCACGCCTGTAATGCCAACACTTTGGGAGGCCAAGGCTGGAGGATGACCTGAGGTCAGGAGTTTGAGACCAGCCTGGCCAACATGGCGAAACCCCGTCTCTACTCAAAATGCAAAAATTACCCGGGCATAGTGGTGCATGCCTGTAATCCCAGCTACTTGGAAGGCTGAGTCAGGAGAATCACTTGAACCCGGGAGGCGGAGGCTGCAGTGAGCCGAGATTGCGCCATTACACTCCAGCCTGGGCGACAGAGTGAGGCTCCATCTCAAAAGAACAAACAAGCAAAAACAAAGAAACCCACCACCACCACCAAAAAATCGTTAAAAAAAAAAAAAAAAAAAAAAATCAAAGCTGAGGCTGTTTTCTCTCAGCGGCCTCTTGGGGACGCTAGCGAGCCCTCAGCTGGGAAACGTGTTTGGAAAGCTCGGGTCCTGGCATCAGAGAGGGCTTCTCCTTCCATCTCGCGCCACTTTTTCCTGGCCTCATATCCCTTTCAGACTTTTGAAAGTTTTCATTTTAGTCTCCCTTAAAGTCTTCGGTCTTGGTCTTAAAATTACGATGCCCTCCGGTGGCCTCGCCGGGCGGGGGCTGCGGGGCCGCGCTCTTCCTGAGGGCGCTGCCACCGAGGAGCGAGACACCTGCTGGCGGCTTCCTGCTCTGGCTGTCTGGTCTCAGTCTACACTGGCTTTGCCCAGAAAGGCCTACAGGTGGCTGAGATCCAGGGAAGATAGTTGGGCAGCCGAAGAGGCCGCGAGCCCCCTGGAGCGCGTGTCCCGCGGTGGCATCTACACCTGTGACGTCGCACCGCCCCCACCGCCCTGCCCTGCAGCCGGGTTCCCAGCGCCCACCACCAACTCCTTCCTGTTAGCCGAGTGTCTCCTTTAGAAAAACAAAAGTCGCCTTTCCCATCTCCTACTGCGGCTGTAACAAATGACCAGAAACTCAGTGGTTTCAAAACCACACACTAATGCTCTCACATGCCAGGTCTGAGATCAAGCCAGGGCGCAGGACTGCTGTGGGGCTGCAGGACAGGGCCAGGCCCTCCCTTTTCCCAGCTTCTCCGCGCCTGCCTTGGTAGGTACCCCACATCCCTCCTCCTCCTCTGCCTCTGGCCCTCACTGTCACCTCCTGCCTCCCTCTCATAAGGTCCCTTGTGAGGACTTGTGCCTCCCTCAGATAATCCAGGACAACCCCCCAACCCACCCCAACAGCCTTCACTTAATCCTATATGCCACTGCTGAGATTTAAGACAGGGGTGTCTGTGGGGCATTATTCTTGCTGCTATACTTTCCTTGAGCAAAAAGCCATGTAGCCCAATATTTGCTTTAAAAAATTTATCTAATTCACCTCCAATTAATTGTCTCATCTACAGACAATCTCCCCACCTCCGTTTTTTGTTTTTGTTTTTGAGACAGAGTCTCCTGTCCCAGGCTGGAGTGCAGTGGCATGATCTCGGCTCACTGCAACCTCTGCCTCCTGGGTTCAAGCAATTCTCTGCCTCAGCCTCTGGAGTAGCTAGGATTACAGGCGTGCGCCACCATGCCCAGCTAAATTTTGTATTTTTAGTAGAGACGGGGTTTCACGATCTTGGCCAGGCTGGTCTTGAACTCCTGACCTTGTGATTTACCAGCCTCGGCCTCCCAAAGTACTGGGATTACAGGCGTGAGTCACTACACACACCTGGTCCCCACCTGCTTTTAAGATTACATTTTATTCTAAATATTATGCTTTTTAAATTGGTCTGTGGTTTCTTTTCCAGTCAGGAAAATTGTGAGGTTTTATGTGTGTGTGTGTGTGTGTGTGTGTGTGTGTGTATGTAATATACATAGAAGTAACAAACAGGACATAAAAGAAAACCCACACACTGCCATCCCTTAGAAATCCCATGCACCTCCAAGTCACAGCTCTCTCCCCTCCTCTCAAGAGGTTTTTATGCCATGCATTTTCCCCTTACTTTTCCGTATTTTCAGAACATGTGTAACTCAAACATTATATTGTTAATTTTGTATATTTTTGAATTATCTATAAATGATGTAATGGAGAGGTTACCAAAGTGTAATCTGGAGACACCCAGGAATCCTGAGGCCCTATCAAGGGGCTGGGAGGTCAAAATGAGGCCAGGCACGGTGGCTCGTTCCTGTAATCCCTACACTTTGGGAGGCTGAGGCAGGTGGATCACATGAGCCCAGGAGTTCAAGATTAGCCTGGGCAACATGGAGAAACTCCATCTCCACAAAAAAATACAAAAATTTGGCTGGATGTGGTGGCATGCACCAGTAGTCCCAATTACTCAGGAGGATGAGGTGGCAGGATCCCTTGAGCCCAGGAGGTCAAGGCAGCAGTGAACCAAGATAATGCCACTGCCCTCCAGCCTGAGTGACAGAGCAAGACCCTGTCTTAAAAAAAAAAGCAGAGAGAGAGAGAGGTAATAATCATCACAAGAAGTGCTGTTTCCACTGTACATTAAAGAAATTTACAAAAATGTAAAAAATGTCCTTCCTCAATCTTTTTTTTTGGAAATAGTCACTGTGAGTCAAGTTAACCTGTATTGGGTCATTACTTTTAATGAATTAATACGTATTTTAAAATTTCTGAATTTTAGTTTCTTTAAAAAATATATACTCAGTAACTTCCAAACAGTTTAAATTTTTAATATTGGCTGGGCATGGTGGCTCACGCCTGTAATCCCAGCACTCTGGGAGGCAGAGGTGGTGGATTGCTAGAGCTCAGGAGCTTGAAACAAGGAGTTTGAAACCAGCCTGGCCAACATGGCAAAACCTTGTCTCTACAAAAAGATACAAAAATCAGCCAGGTGTGGGGCATGTGCTTATAGTCCCAGCTACTTGGGAGACTGAGGTGGGAGGATTGCTTGAGTCCAGGAGGTAGAGGTAGCTGAGATTATGCCACTGCACTCCAGCCTAAGTGACAGTGCAAGACTGTCTCAAAACAAAAAGCAAACAAACAACAATAACAACAAAAAACAAAAAATGCAGGGCACGGTGGCTCCTGCCTATAATCCCAGCACTTTGGGAGGCCGAGGCATGTAGATAACCTGAGGTCAGGAGTTCGAGACCAGCCTGGGCAACATGGTGAAAACCCGTCTCTACTAAAAACGCAAAAAAAAAAAAAAAAAAAAAAGCCAGGCATGGTGGCAGGCACTTGTAATTCTAGCTACTTGGGAAGCTGAGTCAGGAGAATACTTGAACCCAGGAGGCAGAGGATTCGGTGAGCCAAGATTGTGCCATTGCACTCCAGCCTGGGCGACAGAGTGACATTCAGTCTCAAAAAACCAAAAACCAAAAACCAAAAACAACCAATTTTGACTATTGGGAATATCTATACCTATCTATAGCTTACAGTTTCCCAGCCTCGACACTTCTTACATTTGAGGCTGGATAAATCTTTGCTGTCAGGTTGTCCTGTGAATTGTAGGGTGTTGGTAGTATCTCTGGTCTATACCCACTAGATATAACAGCCTAACATGTCTTCAGATGTTAATAAGTGTCCCCCAGGGGACAAAGTCTCTGCAGTTGAGAACTCCTGACTGTCAGATGTCTACAGAATCCCAGCACTTTGGGAGGCCAGGGCAGGTGGATCATTGGAGGTCAGGTGTTCGAGCCTGGCCAACATGATGAAACCCTGTCTCTACTAAAAATACAAAAATTAGCCAGGTATGGTGGTGTGCGCCTGTGATCCCAGCTACTTGGGAGGCTAAAGCACAAGAATTGCTTGAACCAAGATCACACCACTGCACTCCAGACTAGGTGACATAGAGAGACTCTGTCTCAAAAAAAAAACAAACCACAACCTGAAACGTATCTATTGATATAACCCACACAAACAAAGCTGTTGGGGTCCTCATTAATTAATTTTTTTTTTTTTTTGAGATGAAGTTTCATTCTGTCTCCAGGCTGGAGTGCAGTGGCATGATCTCGGCTCACTGTAACCTCTGCCTCCAGGATTCAAGTGATTCACCTGCCTCAGCCTCCTGAGTAGCTGGGATCACAGGCGCATGCCACCACGCCCAGCTAATTTTTTTATCTTTAGTATAGATAGGGTTTCACCATGTTGGCCAGGATGGTCTTGAAATCCTGACTTCAGGTGATCAGCCTGCCTCGGCCTTCCAAAATGCTAGGATTATAGGCGTGAGCCACTGTGCCTGGCTCCCTATATCTTTAAAAAAAAAAAAAAAATCAAGAAGTCTAGCAATACTAAATCTAATGGTGTAAAAATGGTATCATTGTTTATTCTGGAGATGCCTGCCTCTGTCTCTTGTATCCTCCTTTTTCTTCCTTGAAGCTTGCTCTGTCACCCAGGCTGGAATGCAGTGGTGTGATCATAGCTCACTGCAACCTCAAACTCCTGGGCTCAAGCAGTCCTCTTGCTTCAGCTCCCAAGTATCTGGGACTACAGGTGTGCACCACCATGCCTGGCTAATTTTTTTATTTTTAGTAGAGACAAAGTCTTGCTTTGTTGCCTAGGCTGGTCTTGAACTCCTGGGCTCAAGCAATCCTCCCACCTTGGCCCCACAAAGTTGGGATTGCAGATGTGAGCCACCATGTGTGACCTCTTTTTTTTTTTTGAGACGGAGTTTCGCTCTTTTACCCAGGCTGGAGTGCAATGGCATGATCTCGGCTCACTGCAACCTCCACCTCCTGGGTTCAGGCAATTCTCCTGCCTCAGCCTCCTGAGTAGCTGGGATTACAGGCACGCGCCACCATGCCCAGCTAACTTTTTGTATTTTTAGTAGAGACGGGGTTTCACCATGTTGACCAGGATGCTCTCGATCTCTTGACCTTGTGATCCACCTGCCTCGGCATCCCAAAGTCCTGGGATTACAGGCGTGAGCCACCGCACGTGTGACCTCTTTTAGCTCATTTTAAAATTGGATTATTTGTTGTTTTCATAATTGATTTATATGAGTTATTTACATTTACTGAATACTAATCTTTTATCAGGTGATGTTGAAAATACTTTCTCCCCATTTCGTGGCTTATTGTTTTACTTCCTTTATAGTGTCTTTTGATGAACAACATTCTTAAATGAATTGATTTCTATCTTTTTTAAAAAATGACTTGTGCATTGTGTCTTGTTTTAAAAAAGTCCTTCCCTACCTGAGAATGCCAAAAAGAGAGATACTAGATTTCAGTCTGTTCTCTCACATCCTCTGTGTTCCCCACCCCTGTTGCTATGTGTTACATCAGAGGAAACATCTTTCAGATCTTCTATCATTACCTTCAGTTCTGTCTAACCTGAGTCTCCATTTACTTAATTTTAGTTGTTACAATTTTCATTTCCAAAAATTCTATTTATTTCAAATCTGCTTAGTCAGTTCTTATTGTCTCTTGTTCTTTTTAAATTTATTTTTGCTTTTTGATACAGGGTCTCCCTCTGTCACCGAGGCTGGAGTGCAATGGTGCAATCATCACTCTCCGCCTTAACCTCCCAGGCTCAAGGATTCTCCCATCTCAGCCTCCCAAGTAGCTGGGACTACAAGCATGTACCACTATGCCAGGCTAATTTTTGTACTTTTTGATAGAGATGGGATTTGCCATGTTGCCCAGGCTGGTGTTTTCTTATTTTTTATTGTTTTGGAGATAGGATAGTGCTCTCTCATTCAGGCTGGAGTGCAGTGGTGCGATCATAGTTCATTGCAGCCTTCAACTCCCAGGCTCAAGTGATCCTCCTGCCTCAGCCTCCTGAGTAGCTAGGACTTCAAGTGTGTACCATCATGCCCAGCTAATCCTTTAAAACATTTTTTTTTTAGTAGAAATTGGGGTTTTGCTATGTCGCCTAGACTGGTCTTGAATTCCTGACTATTCTTACTTTTGGTTATTTTCAATGTTTCTTTGAGCATTTTATTCATTTATTTGGCCAGTCAAATTTAGCCACGTGTGAGCCTTTCTTTTTCTTTTATTTATTTTTCTTAAAAAATATTTTTTTTAAACAGACACTGAACTATTTAAGCCGAGAATATAACTACTTTACATACACTATGAGAATCCAAACTTGGGTCTCTGGAGATCTGCTGCCAGAGTCTGCTTGTTCCAACCTTTGTATGCACAAGATATACCACATTATAATAATTTTGCATTTGTTATCATATATTAGTTATGTACATCTTAAGTACACTAATTATATACTCTGCATCTGATGATTCCAACATCTGCAGTCCTGGCATGACTGATTTTATTGCTTCTGCTTACTCTCATGAATGTGGTGCCTGAGTCCTTACTTCTGTGTTTTGACTGTGAACTTGCATTGTGAAAACATTAGGAATGAAAACTCTTTGAGACCAGGATGGACATTCACTCCAAGGTGATCTGCCTCTGCTCCTGCTAGTTACCTGGGGCATTATCAACCCTGGAAACAGGGCTGGAGCAAAGATAATACAATAAGCAAACCCCTCCATTGATGCTACTCCCCCAGATCTCTGAAAACCGAACTCTCAGCTTAGGGTTTGGAAGTCAGCAGAGCCTAAATCTTCATAAGGGCAGCTTGTGGGCCAGATTCCCAGGAGAGAGCTCTAAGATTCCCTGCTTTAGGCAGATCTTCAAATCTCACCCCCGACTTTCTGTCAGCTGGAGGCTGTCTCCTCACCTCTTAGCATCTGTCCCTGAGGTGAATGGGTACTCACAGGTTGAGGGTCCCCAGAGGAGATGCCTGTGGATCTGCCAGCTTCAGTGTTTGCATTGCTCTTTGGATGCTGGCCTCACAAAATTTTAACCACTGAGGATTTATCTTTCTTGGATATCAGTTTATTATGTGAAAAGATGTTTTAATATCGTGCTTTACATTTTTAGGTGTTTTCTAATGGGAAAGTTTTTTAAGTTTTCCCAGACAGAAGGCTTCACCCTGTCTCTTGACTTTTCTAAATCTCCGTATTCACACATGCGCATGCATGCACACACTCTCCCTACCTTCCTTGACGGTGTTTACTCCTCCAGCCTTCCAAACTGGTGAAGAGTTGCCAGGTTGATTCCATGCATTTTTTGGGATCTGTAGCGACTCACTGGCCAAAGCTTGTTCCTTGGAATTATTCCCTTTATATCAAATAGCCTAAGTTCAAAGAGAGACTAAGTTTCCTAGAAACTCTTATAAGAATACCTTTGAGGGCAGTGGTTCCTGTTGTTAGGAGAATACAAAGTGCATATTTAAAAAGTGGACAAGTTACACCCAAGTAGGGTGTGTACTTTTGTAAGTAAAAAATCTACCCAATAGCTGTTTCGGTGATGATGTTTTCACTTACCGGCATCCACTTCTGTCCTTTTTCCAAGATCATGAAATGTGTGTTGTCTCCCAAGGTCTGAAAGAACTCTTCTGTGTCCACCACGGTGCCATCTTCCTCCAGCACCAGAGTGACCAGTCCGGTGGTGATGAGTAGGGCATCCAGAGTCTAGGTGTGCAACGCATCAGAGAAATGGAGTGAAGCCAGATATTTCCATGTGACCATCCAATGACATTTATTAAGCTCTAATTTTCAAAAATGTTGGCTGATTTTGATAAAATTTTAATGGTAAAGGTAACCTTGATTGGTGTCTATGACTCAGTCTTTGCTCGGAAACAGGGAAGTTAAGAATTCTCTTTTTAAGATGGGGACCCACTCTGTGGTCCAGGCTGGAGTGCAGTGGCTACTCACAGACACAATCACAGTGCATCACAGCCTCAAACTCCTGGGCTTAAGCAATCTTCCTGCCACAGCCTCCTGAGTAGCTGGGACTACAGGTACATGCTGCCACTGTATGCCATCAGGAGGTTAAGATTTTTAATGGATCTGTCTTCTTAAGATACATGAGATAATGGTTACATTAAATAATTATAATTTCTAAGATTACCTACTTATTTAGATGAATAAAAAGAAAACTCCTGCATGTATGCTACTGTAAGAGCTGCAGCCCCGTGTGCAGAGCTGAGCGTCTCTCTTGCTTCAGACATCGCGTGTTGGATGCTTGTTTCTTGCTTCCATGGGTGCCTGAGTCTGAGTTATGCCCCTCTGAGAGGCTGGGATTCTTCCTTATTTGGTGGTCTAGGACATTGTTCTAGATTTTGGCCTTTATAACCAAAACCAGACTTCCAAAGTCAACTGCTTCCCTGCATCCTTCCTTGTCAAAGAAACAAAGCGACATTCTCCATTGGTGACTATTTATTGTTTTTTGTCTCTGTACCTAAATTCTTTATGGTACAGAGATGTAATGTTCCCCTTGATTATTTTTACCTAAGCTTTGTCCTCAGAATCTCTGAGGCCAAGAGAGGGTCTGATGAGTTTAACTTGTTGTTTATCCTTCATTCTTTTCCTCCTCTTTCCATAACAGCTTTATTGATATATAATCACGTATCATATGGTCCACTCATTTAAAGTGTCCAGTGCAGTGGGTTTTGGTATGCTCACAGAGTTGGACCACTGTCACCACACTCAATTTTACAGCACTTTCATCACCCAAGAAAGAAACTGGCAGGCAGTTGGGAGGCTGAAGTGGGAGGATCACTTAAGCCCAGGAGTTTGAGGCCAGCCTGGGCAACATGGTAAGATCCTGTCTCAAAAACGGAAAAAAAAAAAGAAACTCCATAACCACCAGCAGTCACTTCCAATTTCTCTCCCCACTCCCTCCCAGTGAGGTGCTGCTTCTCTTGACCTTTGTCCTGACCCTGGCTTACAGCCCAAGACCACGGCCCTGTGTGAGTGCAGGGCGCCCCTGTGGACTGGGGGAGACGTGTGGGCTGCCGGGCACCTTGCTGATGAGTTCCTGCAGGCTGCTCGCCATCACCCCACGCCGGCTGCTCCTGTCATGGTTGGAGACCCGGAAAGGGCGAGCTGGATGCATGAGCGGGGTGAGCAGGACTCGCTTAGTCTGCAAACCCATAAATGTCAGGGGCCTGAAAATGGAGGTGAAAAGTTAAAACTTTTTTAAAAGAATCTCTCAGAAGAAGTTTGAAAGTACACAGAAATAATGGATTTTTAATATTTGCATCTAAAAGAAACAAAATCAGTGGTTGGGATTATTAAAAATTATATATACACATGTGTACACATATGATTAAGAAGAAACAAGTAACACATCAAGCCAGAAAACACAGCCATTTTTATTTCTATTTTACTAAGACATCCAAAGTCCTTTCCAAAACTCTTTGAGAAGGAATGGATAGGGAATTCAAGTCAAACAAGAAATAAGAGTTATATTCTGCAAATATGGATGGGTTTTAAAGATTTTAAAAATCCAAAAGAATGATTTCTAGTGGCCATGAAGTAGTTACGCAGAGTTATAAATTCAGTGCACCCAGACACATGCACATAGCTATACATTTATACAATAAGGGTAAGCCAGAAATCAATTCAAAAGTGTGATATTGGTCACTACAGCAATCAATGAAATTTCTGAAATCAACTTAGGATGAACCAATAATAGCAGAACCACTCTTAGAACTGTGGCTAGAATCACAAAAGGAAAAGACCCTCAGGGCTTACATCACGGGACACTTTGGAGTAAGTCCACATTTATCAAATAATTCATTCAAATATTTACTTTTTTTTTTCCCTTTTAGGTACAGCGTCTTGCTCTGTTGCCCAGGCCAGTGCAGTGGTGTGATCTCAACTCACTGCAGCCTTGACTTCCTGGGCTCAAATGATCCTCCTGCCTCAGCCTCCTGAGTAGCTGGAACTATAGGTGCAAGCCACCACGATTGGCTGAGTTTGTATTTTTGTAGAGACAAGGTCTCACTTTGTTGCCCAGGCTGGTCTTGAACTTCTGGGCTCAAGCAGTCCTCTCTTTTGCCTCAGCCTCCCAGATGAAGCTTTTGATAGCAATTTAAAAAATGCAAAATGTGCTGGACATGGTGGCTCATGACTATAATTCCAGTACTTTGGAAGGCCGAGGCAGGAAAATAGCTTGAACCCAGGAGTTTGAGACCAGCCTGGGAAACATATGAGACCCTGTCTTTACAAAAAATAAAATAAAAATAAAAAATTAGCTGGGTGTGGTGATGTGCCTATACTCTCATCTACTCAGGAGGCTGAGGTGAGATAATTGCTTGAGCCCAGATGAACCCAGAAGTCAAGGCTGCGGTGAGCCAAGGTCACATCACTGTACTCCAGCCTGGGTGACAGAGTGAGACTCCAACAGAAAAAAAAAAAAAAAAAGCAAAACTGCCTTCAACACACGATTGCATGCTTTTAAACCAAAAAGCACGAAGGCATGAAGCTATTTAAAAATAACTCCTGGGGGAGACACAGGTGCCCTGCTGCTACCACCAGAAGGTGGGCCAGTAGAGCAACATGTAGAGTTTTCACCCAGGACTGCAGACTGTTTTTGTTTGCTCTTTTTTTGAGATGGAGTTTTGCTCTGCCACCCAGGTTGGAGTGCGGTGGCACGATCTTAGTCCACTGCAACCTCGGCCTCCCAGGTTCAAGCGATTCTCCTGCCTCAGCCTCCTGAGTAGCTGGGATTACAGGCATGTATCACCATGCCCAACTAATTTTTTGTATTTTTAGTAGAGATGGCATTTCACCATGATGGCCAAGCTGGTTTCAAACTCCTGATCTCAAGTGATCCACTAGCCTCGGCCTCCCAAAGTGCTAGGATTACAGGCATGAGCCACTGCATGCACCTGGCCAACTTTTTACATTTAGAAATAGATTCATAATGAAATGATTGCAAACAAGGTAATCAGAAATCAGCAAGGGCGAGGTCTCACCTAGAGCCAGGCACCATGATAGTGCCGTCTGTGTGACCTCATTCAATCCCCATTCCCCACAGAGCAGGACTGGACACTGCAGTGTCCCCTCACCGGGAGAGCACCCACCAACTACAGATGCTCAGATAGTGGCTATTTGAACAAATGCTTGTACAAGGACATTCAGGAGAATGAAACCAAGGGTGTATTTTCAGGACAACCTTGAAGAATACACAAAGTAAACACATCACTGCTTTTAGACTCTTAGAGCAGTTTTTCTGGATTAACTCACTGAACACCAAAATCCTAGGGAACACGTGCATGGCTTGCCAATGCCTGTCACCTGTAATTTAGCACCTTTGACACACAGCCATCTATCCCTGCTTTATTTTCCTTGTGAATAAAGGCTTCTTTGTTATATTTCCTGTAATACCTATCTTAGTTCTAGGCACATACATTTAAAATAGTGTATTGTCTAACTTGAAGCTCTACAAATGAATCCAAGTGAAAATTCAATGACTTACCAAATTGTTATATAAAAAACTGATAGTTGGCTGAATGCAGTGGCTCACACCTGTAATCCCAGCACTTTGGAAGGCTGAGGTGGAAAGACTACTTGAGCCCAGGAATTAGATACCAATCTGGGCAACATAGTGAGACCCTCATCTCTACAAAAAAGAAATTTAAAAAATTAGCTAGGCATGGTGGGGCATGCCTGTAGTCCTAGCTACTTGAGAGGCTGAGGCAAGGGGATTGCTTGAGCCCTAGATCAAGGCCACAGTGAGCTGTGATTACATCACTGCACTCCAGCCTGGGCAAAAGAGTGACACTCTGTCTCTAAAACACATAAACACAAAAACAAAAAACCTGAGAGTGGAGTAACAAGCTGCCTCTCAAAAATCACCGGGTTGAGTTCATGCCGCCAGCTTGATCCCAGTTTCAGGCTCTCCATAAGAGAGAGCGTTTGTGCTTTCTCCAGGCGTCTTACCAACCAAGTGGCGTTCTAGAACCAGACCGAGGTCATTGGCAAGAATGTGGTCTGGAGTATCGTTGGCCAGGCTGACATCAGGGTCTCATAACTGCTCGCATCTGAGCACTTGCCATGGCAGTGTGTCAGCAATTTCAGCTCTTATTAATATTAACTCAATTTTTTTTGCTTTGCTTTTGGAGACAGAATTTCACTCTGTTGCCCAGGCTGGAGTGCAGTGACATGATCTTGGCTCACTACAGCCTCTGCTTCCTAGGTTCAAGCAATTCTACTGCCTCAGCCTCCCGAGTAGCTGGGATTACAGTTACCCACTTCCATGCCTGGCTAATTTTTGTATTTTTTAGAGAAAAGGTTTTCACCATGTTGGCCATGTTTGTTTTGAACTCCTGACTTCAAGTGATTTGCCCTCCTCAGCCTCCCAAAGTTCTGGGACTATAGGCGTGAATCACCATGCCCATCAGTTCAATATTAACTAATATTAACAAATTACCCTCACAACCTTGCAAGGAAAGCACTGCTCCACATCAAAGATGAGAAAACTGAGACTCAGAGTGGCTCCTCAAAGTCGCCCAGCTAATAAGGGAAAAAGATGGAACCTGATCCCAGGTCTGTCCAAAGCCAAGACTTTTTTTTTTTTGGCTGGAGGAGTACATTGTTTTGTTATCCATTCTCTGAACTTCAAACATACATCTATCCAGAGTGCTGTGCAGAAGAGCTGCTCTATGGCTGAAAGCACAGCGGTGCTTTGAGTTCATGCCCTCAACGCCTTTCCCTCTTGGTTAGACAAAGTTGCTACACAATTTGTTTTAATGTGGCGAGACCAAGGGAAATGTGCTGGGTGGGGATTCTGGGCCTGTCAGAGTGACCTGCCCTCCTTCGCCAGGGAGCCACCAAGTAATTCAGAGCCTCGCCTAGCCAGGCTGTGCACCAACACAGCCCGAGGACTGGCACACAGCTTCTGAACTGTCACCTCAATTAAAAGAGTGACAGCAGGGTTCTCAGTTACACAATGCTATGAACAACACTCCTGCACTGATCCCACAGGGAATTCGCACACACTCTCAGCCCTGGTGAGCTGGGGGAGAAGGTGGCAAGAACAGGCTGTGTTACATTTCACATTCAGAACCATGGCGTCGCCTCCACCTCATCACAGCAGCTGAAACTTAAACTAGCTGAAGTCCTCACAAAGAGGGAGAGAAAAAGGTCTGTGCGCCCCTGGATGCCAAACCCTTGTATGTGTGAGCTAGCACCTTGCCTAACCGCTCCTTGGGATCTGCCTTACAGACAGTGAAACCTAGGCCTGGGGAAAGCAGGAGGCAAATCGTCAGGGCAGCAAGTGCTAGACCAGGGTCTGAGCCCAGCTCCAGCTTCCACCCAGCAGTGTGGCAACTGGCCAGAAGACACGGCTCCTATAGGAGGCAAGGGCCCAGCCTTAGCAGCAAGAAAGAGCCTCTCTTTGATCCAAAACCAGGAAGTCCTGGCAGTTGTACACCAGGCTTCTAGAACTGTCTCATGGGGTCTGGTGGTCTATTTCCTACTGTCACACAGTGCCTGTCAGTATGCTGTCTATTTACTGAGTTAAAGATGCTAAGCCAAAATCAGAGAAATGGGAGAACATAGTCAATGTCTTCTAATGCGAGGTCCAGCCCCAGTAGTCAAAGGCTCAGCTTTGACCTAGTTAGCCCCGGGGACTGCATCTCCTCATTGGATGAACATGCTCACGCCTTCCTAAGCACCTGTGCTCCAGTGACTGGTTCCTACCGTCTTTTCCTGTCCGACAAGATAAGGGCTGGCAACCATTTCTGGTTCTCCCTGTCTTCACCTGCCCTCAAGATAGCTATCGTCAGTGAAAAAAAACCTATTGTTCTCACCTGTAGCATTTCCCAACCAAGAGCTGGGTCACGAATGGAGGAAAGGCTGTTGGGGGCACTGAGGACAGTAAATGTATCCCCTACCTTCTTGTCAAGGAGAGTGAGTGATTTCTGGGTCAAATTATGTAAAATGAAGACCGGTTCATATTTAACACAGAAAGGGGTTAAATGAGATGTTCTGCACGCCAGGCCTATGTAGACCAGGACTCTACAGGTGCCAAGGAGTACGCCCTCTGTTTCAGCTGCATGAACAAGACACTGTCTCTGCCCAGCTCCCCTCCAGCCCACTGAGTACAGTCATCTCTATCACTGGCCATCAGCACTGTGCCTAAAAGCAGGGCCACTTAGGATCCTGCATTTAAACACGTCCCACATGAGAACAGGTGCCCCTAATTCCTTTGAAACTGGGGACAGACAACCGTATGAAACAGAAAGGGAAATAACCCACTCACGGGGAAAATATGAGGAAACAGGTTGTTTAAGGAAATAGGCGGTTTCAGAGAAATCCAGAGAGGGAAAGTTAGGCTTCATAGAATGCCGTGAAAGGGTTGCCTCCCAGGAATAAGCGGGAAGGGAAGGCTTTGTATTTCTCCTCGAGGGAGGTAGAGTGCCACCAACTTCTGAAAGTGTGTGAAATACACCAAGAAGCCACTGACCGCCGGTAGACCTGAACTCTTCTCCAGTAAAACAAACTGAGCCCTACAGATAATTAAAAAGCTTTCTTTGTGTGCCACTTATAGAGGAAAAGGGCCCAGGATTAAGGTCTTCCTCAAAGCGAAATATTTTGGTGTTGTGGGTGAGGGGCCGCAGTACACATTCTGTGAGATAGTGCCTGGGAATATTCACGGAGCAGTGATGGGTGAGGGAACCCCACATCTCATCATTAGGAAGAAAAGAAGGCACCCACATGGGAGGAAGAAGCAGTATACAGGAGTAGGACAGAAGTCAACTGAGCACTGTCACTAAGCCAAGAGCAGCAGGGAACGCCAAGGAGGGAAGTGGTGAGGTCAAGCACGGCCATGCTAAGAAGGAAGGGAGGGCTCTGAAAGTGCTCTGCAGGCCTGGAGAAGAGTCCCTGAGCTGTAGGGACAGCGTCAGAGGGTTGTGGGGTCCATGGCAGGAGGCAGAGAAGTGAGTGCTGCCTCGACAAGGCTTCTTGCTGCCTGGCTCCCCTAGGGCTCCCTTGGATGTGACATACACAGGTGGGAGCACACCTGTCCCCTAGATGAACTCGCCCTGACAAGGACTGCCGGGCTCATGGCTCAGTTTTTCCCAAGCTATCTAAAGGCTTGACATTATCAAGTATTCCATACATGACCATGAGGTCTTTGACCACTTTGCCACTCCATTAAAATAAGAGTTTAGATTCAAGAAGCAGAAAGCTGAGAGAGTCACTCATAGAATACTTAATTCCTTACTAATGTCACTAAGAAGACGGTGGTAAAATGTGTACTGAAATAGCAGCACAAAGCCTGGAGTTCTTTGTTCAAGGAAAGGGAAGATGTGCTAGATAGCTGTGAAAGCAGCCATTTCACACGATGTTTATAACATTTATCAGCTTCTTCATAACCTCAGCCTTTGGCAGGAATGTTATCACCGGCAGGACACATGAGCAGAGCAGATTTGGCTATGACAGTCAACATGCATTGTTCACTTCTTGATGTCTGGAGTTTTGCTCTGAGACCTCAGGCTGCTTTCCTCAAGATTGAGGCCCCTTATGATTCCAGCTGACTAACAAAGGCTGGGTTAAGGTTATACCATCGCCTACAAGTACCTGCTTTTTAAAAATTGTGCACATTGATTAAGTTCCTTCCTTGGCACAATGTAGTTACTTACTAATAAAGACACTTATGACATCCTGGATCTGGTTTAAATTAAGGAACCCTGAGAGGAGGCAGAAGTCCCACAAGAGCACAGTTAGCAAACGTGTTAGGACCCGGCCTCTGGCTCTTTCGCCTGGACAGGGTTTTAGAGAAGGTCAGAGAAGAAAAAGTGTTTTCCCTTCGATGAGAATTACAGATTGCTTCAATGGCAGTAGCTCAGCCTGGAAGCGGGTAGATTTCAAAGAACTGCAGTAACAGTTTGTCCCTAACAAGTCGTCATTCACTCCTGGGACCAGCTGAGCTAGAAGGAATGTGTCCTAGGAGACTCAAGGTTTCCCAGTGTTTCATTTGTCAACAGCTCATAAGCAAGTCACTTTCACTGCACACTTGACCTCATGGAGACCTCACACAGATGCATTTTGGATTTTGGTGAGCTGTTGTAATAGTCAGAGGCAGGGACAGGCTCAGCCTGAATCCTGCTCAGAGGCCAACCAGGATTGGTTAGTGCCGAGTCAGCCCATACCTCCTTCCCCCATGCTCCGGAGGAACAGTGGGTGTGTTGTGAACTCACTGGAATAGTGGTTGGAAGGACTCATTCCAAACTGCTAACAGTCCTCACCCCCTGGGAGTGGGACTGGGGATGGATGGTGTTGGAAGAACGCGAAAGAAGCAAGGCCCTGACCTTTAGGCCTGAGTGTGTTAATGACCATATACGATGCAGGTGTTTCTTAGTATCTCCGTGCCACTGCCCTGACTTGTACTGTGGGCTTGTTTTTAAAGAGAAAGATGCTTCTAACCTGCAGTATATACAACAGCTCCCCTTTAAGAACCAGGGATCAGAAGCTCACAGATCGCCTTTTGTAGCCGGAATCCCCTTCCTTTTACCCACGCAGTCCCTCTGCCTGCCACACATCACATACACAATGGGACCCGCACCTTCAAGTCCGCAAGGGCTTCTCTATCCTTTTCGAGGTACTTGATGTTCAGAGAAACATATCTTAGACCTATACCTTAAAGTAGCTGCCACGCAACGTCTTAGGAGTTTACCAACAAATTAGCTTGAGTCTGTTGAGATATGAAGATTAACCCAAGCAGGAAAACATCCGTGGTCGCCCTTTCAGTCACCAACGGGTGGCAAGGCCACCACAGCGCAGGGAAGCCTCCGCGGGGTCCAGTCGCCCCTTGTCCCCCTACCTTCCCTCCAGCCCCTCGGGCAGCGCCTCCGCCCTCGGAAGCCGGCGGCCGGAGAAACGCTTCTCCCAGCACCACCAACCTGGCGGGCTCCGCCGGCCCGGTCCAAGCCTCCCCTCGGAGACCAGAGCCCACGCTCCCAGGAGGGACCAAACCTGGGCCCCTCCGCGCCCGGCTCCCGTTGCGATTTCCAGGATCCCCAGAAGCCGGATCCCCGACCACCGTGGAGGCGTTGCTCGGGGTTCCTGGGACCGTACCCTCTTCTGCGCCCGCGACTGCAACAGCGGCCAGAGATGCAGCCACTCGCCGCTGTCACCTGCTCCGCGGACGCCCGCGCACCTCGGAGAGCCACGCCCGGCATTTGCGCCTAGCTGCAAGAAGGGGAGGAGGCGCGGGACGGGCTTTGGCTCTACCTGCGGGCGCGGCTGGACGGCTCCGGCACCAGTGGGGCGGATGAGTGTGTTCGCGGGGTGGTGGAGCGCAAGAGAACGCGGGCAGCAGGGGAACGAGGGGATCCGGGTACAGTAGGAGAGGCGCACAGGGGACCTGAGGGCGCGGAGCGCAAGCCAACTGGAAGCGCACGGGAATGCTGTGTTTAGGGGAACGCGGGGCTCAGGCGGACGCAGGGGCACTCGCCTGATGAGGGCTCCTGCGTAGTCCCGGGCGGCCTCCATGACGCGGGTCCCCTCGCAGGCCTGGAGGCCTCTCTGCCTGCGCCGCCTCTTAAAGCGCCGGAGCCCCGCCCCCGACAACCCGGCGAAGGCCTGACCCGCGTAGGGGAGAACGCTGGCATGTGCTCGCCACCGCCGAGGGTAGCGGCTTCGCGCTCTGGGAACCTGCGGTCGTCCCTGACTCTTGCCGCCCGTAGCCGCGCGTCCTTTGCTGTCTTGGGCGGTACCGAGGACCTTGGAAGCCCAAATACTCCACGGGTCTCTTTTGGTCATTGTCAGCCTATGTTTGTTTTGTACTTCTAGGGGTCGGGGCAGTTGGGGTCATTACCGATCCCGGCAGCATCGCTTTGGCCACGGAAAGACGGGCATGTGGATTTTAAACCCAGGCCACCGGTGGGGCGAGCGAGCAGCCGGGTGTGAGCGCCACTTGCCCCCAGCGCTGGAGTCCCCCCAGAGGCCAGCGCCAGGCTCGGCGAGCCGCTGGTTCCCTGCAGGGATGAGGAAGCTGCCGCGGACACCGGGACCTTCAGGTTCTCGGAGGCGCCTGGGCTTCCTCCAGCTGCGTTGCTCTCAAGGCCGTGTCATAAGCATTGGGGGACAGTGAAAAGGGCATACAGAACGGGACGGGAAGGGAACCTTTGGACTGCATGAGTAGCCTTTTCGCTGTAGTAAGGGACCTTCTCAGAGTGAGGAAGGAAAGAGCCAACCCCCCTGGGTCTGTGGGATTTGCGTCCACACCCTGCTCTCACGGTTGTTGCCATCAGAAGATGCAATTAGGGCTTCTGAGACCTCCAAGGAAGGCAGGCGGTCACAAGGGGTTCCTAGAGCCCCTCATTTCAGGACTGAAGAGGTGGCCTCTGGCTGTGTGGAGGGGTGGGACTCCTCACGCTGGCAGTAGAGGTGTAACTAGCTTTCTGCGAATGAGACTTGCTAGGACATTCTCTCACGAGAGCCTGTGCAGCTGTGAACCAGTGGCCTCCGCCTGACACCCACACCCTCAGGGAAGGGCCTCAGCATTGCCTTCCCTCAGTTCCCCACAGTATCTGTGGGGTGACTTCCTTCTCTGAAGCATGGATGCCTCCCCACTCCCCGAGCCTCAGCATGTGCTCGGCACAGCCCATTCTCTGGAATGCAGAGACCTGGGTTCCTAACCTGACTTTACCTCCTCTAGCTTGGTGGCCTTGGGCAAGTCACATAACTGCTCCAAGCCTCAGAACTTAATCTGTCACAGGGCATCGGCCCCTCTCTCTCACCGGGTGTGTGAGACTCAAACCCAGTGAGGGAAGGGCTGTCCTGATCAGCCCCAGCAGTGTGAGCAGGACAGATGTTCATGGCAATGAGGGGCTCCACCCCCACTCCTAGACAGGAGCAAGTGCCTGAAACAGAAACTGATTATCACCTACCAGAATGCATTATAAACATAGGTGCTTAGGGCTCAAAGAAACCCTCATTTCTAATCCAATTTCTGCATTTTTTGAGGGGTGGGGAGGAAACAATCATCCCTCAACTTTGGCATTGTTACTTCCAAATTCTGTCACTGTGTGTAGCTTTTCTTTTTTGAGCTTCGATTTCTTTATTCCCAGTGGTCCCTGATGATATGCACTCCTTATCAAGTCTCAGTGGGGTGCAATGAGTCAAGTGAAGTAATGCTTCTGAAATACACTGTGAACCCTCAAGCACTAATACATATTAGGTCTTATTATGATATTGATAAGGGAATCAAGCCCTGGGAAACGACTAATCCAAATACCATTAAACACATAGCCAGGGCATCTGCAGCAGAATGGTCAGTAAGGCGAGTAATTTCTTTCAGTTTGTTCTGCAATTTGCCAAAGCCAAGTGTCTTCCTATTTCCATATAGCTTCCAGCCTCCCTGTTTGAAAAAAATTTCTATAATTATTTATACTAAGGTGTAAATGATTGCTGTCTCACTCAGCAAACATTTTCTGAGCATCTTCCTGGTTATTTTTCATGAGGTCCATTTCCTGCCCTTCTCTGTCCAGCCCCGTGCTCAAGAGCTGCACCTTGCCCTTGGGCTACCAATTGGTTCAGGATGGGCTTTAAAAAATTAAGAATTGTATTGCAGAAGAGTGTGCATATGCTAAAGTGCACAGATGTTTGTGTGAATTTTATGTTTATAAACTGCTCAGACCAAGACAGAATATTTGCAATGTCTATTAGGCTCCCCTTGCCCCTTCTAGGCAGTACCGCCGCACTGGAGATCCTACTGTTTTGCCTTCTGTTACCACAGGTTCATTTTGCATATTCTTGAACTCTGTATACACTGAATCACACAGGATGTTCTCTTTTGTGCCTGGTTTTGTTTGCTCCTCATTGCGCCTGTGAAATTATTTATTTTATTACATAGGCTATTTGTTTGCTCATTTTTGCTGCCAAGGAGAACTCCATTGTGTGACATTTATGCATCCACTCCACAGTCCACGGCTATTTGCCCAGTGAGAATCCACAAGGCTGCAAGAGCACTTTTGTACGTTTCCTTGTGCACATGTGTGTTGCTTTCTCTTGGATGGAGGGACAATGGGGACATGGACACATCTGAATGCAGTGGTCCCAGGGACAGATGACCCTGGGTAGAAACTTCATCTCCCAGGAACAGGTGTGGAAGGTGAGATTTGAGGCCTGACCAGGAGGTCTGCCTGGGCATCTGTATTTCTAGCAGTTCAGGTTCAGGTTCTAGTGTCTCAAACCTACGCAACTATGCCTTGGTCATGAGCTGGGTTACAGCAAAAAATTAAGGTGAATTTTAACAAAATCGAGGAGCATCCTTGCAGTCAACTAAGATGTCTTTCTTCACATTGTTAACTAATGAGGTCAGGTATGGCCATTAGGAAAGTGAATGTGTTTGTAGGCAGAAGGATCCGGGCAGCTGATGGGGTGTTAGTGGGTTCACACGTGGCGACCCAGGGCTGGTGAGTCCCATGGTGTGGGAAGGATTATGCAGGAAGTCAGGGCACCATCCCTCCTTGGTATTCCAATGCCAAGCCTTAGTTCCACACACAGAATAACCGTAAATGTGAAATCGATCTCTCTGCATCTCTGTCATGCACGCAGATCACTTGGGACCAGGTGTTTAAGGCTGCACTGTGCTATGATTGTATCACTGCACTCCAGCCTGGGCAACAGATTGAGACTCTGGATCTAAAATAAAAATAAAATAAAAATTAACAAAACTCACTGTTGTATTATTTCATGCCTACGATATTTACTGGGGCCCCCATACATTGATTCTTAACCTTTTGTTGCTCAACATCCCTGAAATGTCTGAGGGTGATGGCCCTTCTCTCCAAAAAGGCTTGTAAAACCCACGACATTGTGCTCACACTCTGTGGGTCCCAGGTGCCCCAGGCTGGGAAGCCTGCTCTGAGGGGAGGTGTGGTCCCTGCAGGCAGCAGCTGACCCCTCCGAGCTTCCTGCTATTAATAAGCTGGGCACTCCCGACATGTGTTTTGGTTGTGGCTGTTGCCGAGCTTGGATGTTTATTTTCCTTCCAAATATAGGAACAAAGGTGATGTTCTTTTCCCTGACTTTCATCTGTTTTTCTGTCCAAAGAAAGTGGCCAAAGAAGCCTGTGTTTGGCACTAATTCCAGGCTTTTCCTAACTGGGCAAGAGGGCAGAGCAGACTCCGCTTTGTGTGAGGGGTGTGCCAGTGTCAACAGCAGCACATCCAAGACACCAGCCCCAGGCTCTTCATGCAAAAAACTGTCCTGATCTTCCAGAAAGGTTTTAATAACATTTTAACTCTATAAGTAATCGGTAAATACAGTGTTATTATTAATGATTTTTATGTAAATATTATGGCTAAGGCAAAAATCTGCTTGGACCACCAACCACCTGCATCCTGCCCCTTTCCCACCCCCTCCTCAGCTCGCTCTGAATCCTCCCGTGCCTTGTCTTGTGGGTGAGAACCACACGTCACAAGTGGGGTTCTGCACTGCGGCTGGTTTGCACAGTGCTATCATATTCCATGGAATGCTCATAGCTTGCTTTCTCACCCAACAGTGTGTAGCTCTTCCCGTCCCAGGGCACCGGGGCTGCCCCGCTGATGTCAGTGCGTGGAGTTCCCGGCACGTGTACAGCGCATCACAGCGAACATCTCTCTCCTGCTGCCCTCGCACTGTTTCCAGTTGGTCCTTGGCATCCACAAAGCCGTCCTGAGCATGTGCGAGCACATCCTGTCTCTGTGGGTGCCTCGCTGGGCATAATACTAAGAAGTGGAATTGCTGGATTTTAGGGTATGTATATTTTATTTATTTAGTTAGTTGTTTAGTTATTTCATTTTTATTTCATAGCCATAAACTCTGCAGTCCAGCCAAATGTGGAGGGGAACAAGGGAACTATGGAAGAAGCCAAAGAACTGCAGCGAGAGCACAAAGATGGTAGGACACTGAGAGCTACGGAGTGGAGGGAAGCACTCCTGAGCTAAGGAAGGAGTAGGCTCCTGGTTAAGAGAAAATACAAGTCAAATCTTAGCGCTGTCCACAGTCGGCAGTGGTGATCTGCTGCTGGTCTTGTTGTTCCTGGGCCCAGGGGCTCTGTGGCTTCCACCCTGTCCATACACCTAGCCAAAGATCATGTGCTTGCCACCCACTCAGTCTTGGCTGAAATACTGGGAC